CCGATAGTGCCGGGCGCGTGTTGGAACTGCAGTACGCGGGCGGTACGAATCGCTTGCAGCAAGTGGTTCTGCGCGTCGGTGCTGAAGGAGAGGCGCCGCACGTGCTGGTTCGTTACGACCATGACAGCTACGGTGGTTTGGCACAGGTGCAAGGCCGCTCGGGGCAGGTCAGTCGAAGGTTTGCCTATGCCGCCGGGAAGTTGGTGAGCCACCAGTTGCCTACGGGACTGACTTGCTATTACGAGTGGGCAGAGTTTGAGTACCCCATGGGTCACCGCCCAGGCCCGCATGCACGCGTAGTGCGGCACTGGACCGACGATGGCGAAGAATATGTGTTCACCTATCAGTTCCATGCTGACGGCGGTGGAACAACGACTGCGAAGGATGCTTTGGCGCGGACGCTTCAGTGGGAATGGAACAGCGACTACGAGCTAACGCGCCACACCGATGCCCTGGGTTCAGTGACGATCCAGACCTGGAGTGAGACCAAGCATCTGCTGAGCCACGTAGACCCGCTGGGGCGCACCACAATCTATGGCTACGACGACGCGGGCAATCTGGTTGCGGAGACCGACCCTTTGGGGCGTGTCCAAAGATGGCGATGGAGCCCCGCACCCGCAAGCCTGCTGATCTCGACATCGGACGCTACAGGGGCCGCTTGGACGTACCGATATGACGACGCTGGCAACCTGACGGCCGAGATTGATCCACAGGGAGGCGCCACCCAATACGCGAACAATCCCCAGGGCCTGCCGGTGGTGGTAACCGACGCACATGGGGGACGCAAACAGCTTCGTTGGGACAGCCGCGCACTGTTGACTGAATACACCGACTGCAGCGGAAAAACAACCCGTTTTGAATACGATAAGTACGGCTTTCTTCAGTGCGAGATGGACGCAATGGGACATCGCACCGCGCTGCAGCATGACCCACAAGGCCGGCTTCTGAAGCTGACACTGCCCGATGGGGCAGAGCACCGTTACAGCTACGACGGCGCAGGCCAATGCGTGCTCGCCGTCGATGCGCTGGGCCAAAGCACCAGCTACAGCTACAACCTACGCGGCCAACTCACCGGGCGCAGCAAAACGGTAGGTAGCCTGAGCAGCAACATCCAGCTGGGCTACGACACAGCAAGGCGTCTGTCCGCCCTGATCAACGAAAACCGCCAAGCCTACCAGTTCAACTACGACGCAGCCGACCGCCTGGTCA